TACAGGTGAGGACACAGACTCACAGAGGTCATCTCACTTGTCCAGTCACATAAGTAGACAGGGCCAAGACAGGACACAAACCCACGCTGTTTGACTTCATGGTCTAAGGTCGGCAGCTGAATAAGTCACAAAAAGCTGGGATACACGCATCATGATTAGTGAGAAAGAGACAAACAAAGCAGTGCATGTGAGAAGAGAGAGAGAACAGGGGCGGGCTAACCAGATGGAAAGAACACTGTGTGAGAAGGAAGAGCCATAGCTTACACGTCAGGAGGGCTGGGACCCTTCCCCAGGAGGCACCGGTGTGACCAAGGGGAAGTCAATTCCTTCAAGCCTAAGTGCCTACAGTGGTGTGTTAAGATAAAAATGTGAAAGTGAAAATAAAACATCAGAATACCATGCAGAAATCAATAAAATAAAAAAAGGAAATGAGACAATTAGAAAATGAACGACAAAATTAAGAACGTCTTATTGATGACACAATCGTAGACATGCTACGGTAGAACTTAAACTACACATAAATTAATGATGAACGTTAATGAATCCTGAAGGATTATAAATTGCCAATAAGGCTGTCAGGGTTGTCCTTTTCCATTCCCTGATCACATCATTGGCACCTAATGTCACAGAAAATGCTTTCAGTCTTTTGTTGTTGCTGTCACTGCCACCTACTGCAGAAGACACTTGTAAAACCCAAAATTCCACCTTGGTTAAAATTAGCCTAATTTAAGGTAATTAAGTACACATGTATGGATGTGAATATACACATAATCCATATATATTTAAAAATCTGTTTATTTCAACATTGTGAGATCTGGAGGAAAGGAATCCAGCTCTGCTGTGTGACCAACAGAAATAGGAAACGAACGGGCATTGTTTTAAGCCACAAAGTTTGTGGTAATTTGTTACAAAGCAATAGAAAACTAATATGTACCTGAGGTGATTTGGACAACCAAAAAAAAAAAAAAACCCACAGAAAACCAAGACAGTGATTCATTCCAGGGATGGGAGCACAGGACTGTGCAAGGAAAGAAAAGTAACCATCAAGTAGGCAGATCTGAACCATGTCAACAAATCCTTTGACACAATGCTCATGTGTCTTGTGTTCCCTCCCTTGAAGTTCAGTCAGCCATAGTGACTCGTAACCCACAGAATACGGCAGAAATGATGCTGAGTAACTTCCCATGTTAACTCAGTTTCTGCAGTGCTCTCTGAAACAGTGCTCTGGAACCCATTCTATTAGAGAGCTTGGCATTGGATTTTTCAGGCAAAGCACAGCATTTCCCTTTTCTGTTTGCTAATCATAGATTTTCCATTTATTATTGTCCCTTGTCAATATATCATCCTTAGGGACTACAGTGAGTGAAGCTGAATTTGTCCATTCCTGTATTCTCTAGGCATAATACCACCAAACTACACCATTAACCTTTGACATGAACTAGCCAAAATAACAGCATCAATAGCAGTCAATGCAATCAAGAAAGGTAGGATATTTAAATATTTAAAGATAGAGATGATTGTCCATCACTGGTTGAAAACCTATCTTTTACTCCATTTTATGCCCTAGAAAGTTCTACCAAACTGATTTGCTCTAAAACTCTAAGCAATCTGCCTAACATTTTAGTCTCCCCATTTCTAGTCCAACAAACTTCAGGAATAACGTTTGGTTGAGTGGATAAATCTCTTGAAAATATTTCAACCAAGATTCTTCTCATGTGTAAAATAAACTTTCATCTTATTAATTAAATCAACAAATACTTATGGGTAAGGTTCTATGAGGTAAAATGACATGACAGAGTCTCTGTCCTCAGGGAGATTATAATAAACATAAGTACCTAATTAAATAAAAAGGCAGAATATAGTGAGTTCTATAATTAAATAAAAAGGCAGAATATAGTGAGTTCTAGAATAAAAAAGGCACGACAGGAGAGACTGAATGTCCTTGGAGCCCAAGAAATAACTACACAAAGGATTTGAATAACCTTTCTTAAATCCAGGCTTTTCACTTCCTTTTACCTTTATCTATACCAATATCCTATACCTTGTCTCTCTCTGAAACTGTTCCATCCTTCGAATCTTAAATTTTGGAACCCTCTTTCAAACTAAATTCTAGATCCCTTTTGGGGAAAACTCTTATTGTCCACTCCCCCATGAGTCTCCATAGAGGAGACTGTTCACTCACTAGGGAAGGCAAGTGGTTCATCACCCCACCCCACCTTCACTTGGGAGGAAGGAAAAAGAAGTAACAATTTATCAGAAGCTCTGTACTTAATGGCTGTTGGGTCTTGTTCAGCCCAAGAATAAAGCTATCCCTCACTCCGTATGTTTTATTCTCAAGAACTGAGAACGCAGAGGGGAAGGTGGATGAGTTATTGATCCCTCAAACATCCAATAATCCCTTTACCTTTCTGTCCAATACAGCCTATAAACCATCAACCCTGGATCAATTTAGTTGCTCTCGCTCCCCGTCCTAAAGAAAATGCTACAGGCACAGGAATTAGGTACATTACTAAACTTGACCTCGATCTTTGCTAGACATTATTTACTACCTCATAATCTACTACAGGTCCCTGTTCAGTCTCAACTCTAATTTTCTGCAGAAGTGACTCCAAGCCCACCTAAACTCTTACTCAGGGCAGATGACCTTGTCTTCAATTTCATCAGAAAACAATTAGTATTTGGTTTGAGATAAATGAACTTCCTATGGGGGCACCTGGGTGGCTCAGTTGGTTAAGCATCCAACTTCAGCTCAGGTCATGATCTCACGGTTCGTGGGTTCGAGCCCTGCATCAGGCTCTGTGCTGACAGCTAGCTCGGAGCCTGGAGCCTATCTTCGGATTCTGTCTCCCTCTCTCTCTGACCCTTCCCTGCTCATATTCTCTCTGTATCTCTCTCAGAAATAAATAAAACATTTTTAAAAAATGAACTTCCTGCATACATCTACCTCCATTAACTTTCTGTCTCCTGATCAATGCTCATCTTTAAATGGGCTCTGGCTCCCTCCCCCTCAGCTTATTCAGGAGTCATGCTCCTTCTATTCCGCCCCCCCCCCCGCCCCCACCGCTGCCGGACCTTCAACTTTGGGTCTAACACCTCTTTCCTCTCTTCATACACATTCAAAACCCATTTTAAAGACAAAACAAAACAACAACAACAAAACCAAAATTCTCTTCAAGCCTGAACATTCTTCTAGTTATACTTCTTCTCCTCCTAACAGCCAAGCTTTTCAAAAAAGCAACCCATCCCAGCTTCTCTGCCTTCCTGCCTTGTTCCGGAGTGCAGCCGAATGCATTCCACCCGGTCCTTGAAATCATTCCCATCAGTGTGACCCCATCACCTCCAAGGTAACAAATTCCACAAACGCTTTCATTTCTTCGACTTGACCTCTCTACAGTATTTGATGTTTGACAACTTCCGTCCTAAAACTATCTTCCACAGGCTTTTCCTAACATCATCACCTCCTAAAGCTCCTTCTATACTTCCGAGTGCTCTGTCTTTAATGGTCCAACTTTAAATTTTAACATTTTCCCAGGATTCTATTCTTGGCTTTCCTCTCCTCAAACTAAACTCTCCCTGGGGAGGGGGGAGGGGAAGGAATATTACTCCATGAATTATCCCACATGCCCATAAATCAATATGGCTAAATCTGAACGCATCTGCTTCCTCCCCGCCCCCTACCCCCGCCAGTGCTTACCTCTACCATGGCACTGCTCTGTATTTGTTCATCTGTCTGCCTTCCCTGCCCTGGTGTGCCTGGGAGACGGACACAGCGCACCACTGTCAGTAGTGGTAGTTTCTTGAACAGGGGCTGGGAGTGTGGAGGGGGCAAAACATAGCAAGGGCAGTGACTCTTAGAGGGCCTAGGAGTATGTAGTTATACAAAATACCCCAGATGGACTTCACTGAACTATATTGTGACTATAGCGAGGGACGCGGCAATATATTTGTCCTTCTCTGAATCTCTTGTGCCCAGCACACAGTGGGTATTCAAATCACATTTCCTGAATGAAAGAAGTACAAGAAGAATGAGAGATGTGGGATACGCTTTGCAGAAGTGTTAGGATTTCAACAGCTACGGCAGGAGGAGAAATCGTTCAAGCCAGAGGGAACGGGAAAAGCCCGGGCACAGACAGACAAACTGGACCAGGGGGCTGCACACGGACAGAGTCTTGGCAACACGAGGATGCTGAGGCGGGATTTTACAGGACGGAGCTGCAGGTGTCGCTTGGCAGGCAACAGCGAGCCAGTGAGCGCTTTCAACCAACGCGGCTTGTAGTTGGAAAGGAATTCACTGGAACAGAGGCTACCTCTTAAGTCGTTATCAAATGAATTACTTAAGTGAGAACAGATGAAGGCCTGAACTATAGCAACTACCTGAACTGCAGCAAGAGTAAAAGTAGAAGAGAAGGAAACATTATTTTTAAGACTGAAGGTAAGAAACAAACTTTTTGAACAAATAACAGAATTAAAGTATTAAATTTAAAAGAAGCGAGGGGCACCTGGGTGGCTCAGTTGGTTGAGTGTCTGACTTTTAATCTCAAATCAGGTCATGATCCCAGGTTTGTGGGATTGAGCCCCACATCAGGCTTTGTGCTAAGCATCGAGCCTGCTTAAGATTCATTCTCTCTCCTCTCTCTCTCTCTCTCTCTCTCCCTTTGCCCCTCTCCCCAACTCATGCCCTCTCTCTCTAAACTAAAATTAAAAAATTAAAATAAATAAACGTAAAAGAGGTGAAAATTTTAAAGCACAAGAATTAAAAGGTCTAAAATGGAAAACACTGTAAAAACTTAAAAAAAATATATTTAATACATTGGTTTATTGACTGAAACAATCACGAATGGTATTGGGTATACAATGTACTCATCAAGTTTATTGTGTTGGCAGGAATTCCAACACACATCAGTTGACACACAGTTGGTAATGAGGAGGACATTCGGTACATGTTTAGGAAAGGTCATTCTATGACTTTTGAGAAGGAAGTCAGCAGAATAGAACCATACCGTGAAACTGTTGTTAGCATTCTTCGTGCTTGCTTCAGCTACACTGGCATCTGAGAGGTCGACTTCATCAAATATCAGAGACTGTTAATGAAAAAGGACAGAAACACATTACAGGAGAACCTAACTGAATGCTTGTCAATAATTTTTTTTTTTTCGCGCTAACAGGTTATGACTACGAAGCTATTTCAGGAATTCGGAATAGAAAAGGAAGAAAAAATTGTTAGTGATACTTTGCAATTTCTTAAGAAGAGTGAGTAAAACCATGAAGTATAACTAACTCTTACATCGCAAACTGAAAAGGTCTTCAAAGAACCCTGGCACACTGTTTCGATGCAAAATGCTCTGTGCTCTCTAGAAGCATAATTTATGGGGAACCTCCTAAGTGTGTTGTGCACATGCACACACACACACACACACACACACACACACACACAGCAACACCTCCTGACAGGCAATAGCCTGTAACAACTTGGCCAGCAGGGCAACATCGTCCTTCCCACATTTGCTGAGTGAGAAACGAGAGCTAGTCCTGGTTCAGATCATGGTGAGTTCCTGAACTTTCTGAGCCTTATCTTCCTCATCCACACATGGGTTCAGATGAGAAGGTGAATGTGCTCTGCAAATCTAAAATGAAAGTTTCTTTTGTACCCTTAGAAGTGGTTTCAATTAAAAAAAAGTTTCCATGATAAAAACTCCAGAGAAATGGAATCTTTAAGAGTGTTCAATTTGGAGATTAGGAAATTCTAGTAAATAAATGTAGTCTGCCCACTTTCAGTCATTTGGCCATTGTTCGCACTCACTTGCGCCCCTACAGCAAGGCAGGGATGACAGCGCACCTCTGGGAGTGCACACAAGGGACTGTCCTCTCATAGCTCCCACCCTCCACCCCCCCCCCAAGATCTCTAGGGGGCACACAAGTCCACTTCACTCCAACCGATCTGTTAGACTCGTTCCCTGACCAGAAAGAACGTATAATCTAGCACAGGAGAAGAAACAGACACAACCCATTTTAATGTAAGACTATTAAAAGTGGAACAGAAGAAATACTACAGAATACTATGGAAGGTCACGGGTAATTTCTCCAGCAGGAAACACTTGAACTCTTGCTCTCCTGAATGATGGGATAAAGACTCTTTGAGGGGATCTTAAAGAAAGCAGGGAATTTCATCAAGTGAAGACAGAGGGAAGGTCATATGCCGATGGTAAACATGGGGCGACGCCGAAGGCTGTCAGGCGGTCAATGCTGCCTAGAGATGAATGTGAAAAGTCAGCATGGAGCCAGATCGGGGACAACCTTGAACATAACGACTGTTAAAATAGGATTACTTGATTTGGTTATTATTTCTACAGCTGCACAAACTAAGAATTAGGTTTGTTTGCATATTTGATTTTACCTCCTGGTGTATAACTCTACTAATTATATCAGGAACATACATTTTTTAAATATGGAAATTATCAATTATTCAACTGAGACAGTAGCAAGAAATCTTAATGTTTACTTCTGAAGGAATACTAAAATGTCAGTTTTAAATGGAAGCTCATCATTACTCATTTTTTTCTTACCCAACCACATCACTCTTATTTTATTCAACTGCTATGTAAAAATTATTTAAAGCCTTGATTTTATTTCACTATGGTTTTTATGCTTAACTGCTAGCACAATGGAATGATTGCTTTGTGTCAGGCACCATGTGTATTATCTCATTTAAGCCTCCTCGGAACAACACATGCTGCCCACAGCCACTCCACTGGAATGTGCCGGAACTAGGATCTGAATCTTGTCTGAAAGCAGAGTATAGATTCTTAGCAACTATAGCAATTCTCTCTCTCATGGTCAGGGAAAGATTTATAAAGTAAAAAAGGTAGCAAGAAAGGAGGGAAACCCAAAATTTGTGAGTTTATTACATTTAATAAAGTTACATTTAATGTTTTACTTTAATTATAAGAGAAGAGGAAAGGAAGAAAGAAAACTACTTTTGAACCTTCCCATAAGATCGTCCTTAGTGGACAAGCCATGACACTGACTTAAATAGACTCCTTGGGATTTGGTCCAAGATGACCACACTCATACTAAATGCACAGAAGAGTTAAGGTTATAGTGAGCACTAAGACAAAAAGTTTATAGAACCAAAATTTTTAGTCCATCTACAACCTCAAGTGCTTGCAAGTAATATTCTCCCCAATTACCTTTGAGTCCTTTGCATAATAAAGTGTACGGCCTCGAAGTTTGAAGTAACGCTTTTTCCACCTCTGGAAAGAACTGGTTTGCTTCAATAGTTGTCCCTCCTTAATACTGGTCTGGGGAGAAACAGAGGCATAACAACATGATTAATATCAGATTCAAAACCAAGTAAAATTCAGGGGTGCCTGGGTGACTGAATCAGTTGAGCGTCCAACTGCGGTTCAGGTCATGGTCTTACGGCTCGTGGGTTTGAGCCCCACATCGGGCTCTGTGCGGACAGCTCAGAGCCTGGAGCCTGCTTCGGATTCTGTGTCTCCCTCTCTCTTTGCTCCTCCCCCACTTGTGTTCCCTCTCTCTCTCTCTCAAAAATAAACATTAAAAAAAAAAAACAAGTAAAATTCAGAGTTAATGACATGTTAAATATTTCCCAGGTCCTACGAATTACATGAGAGAATATTTTCTTCTTTCTATTCAACCAAGGCAGGACATGTGCAAAGCCCCAAAGAGCTAAGGCAAATGTGACACGGTTCCCTGACCTCCAAATAGTCACAAATAATATGGGAGACACATACACCAAACTAGTACTTACAGTCAATTGTGATGTGTACATTGCCTTATATATTGTAAGTATTTAATATTGGTGGAAAATGTAGAGGGGCAATATAATGCAATGATTAAAAGCACGGAGTCTAGATCCATAAACCTTACATTTACCTCCTAATGCCACCCACCACTTAGTGGTTGAATGGTCTTAGGCAAGTTACTGAACTTCTTTGTGCCTTTATTATTAATCTATAAAATGGGGATGACACCTCTAAGGGCATACCTTATAGGGTTGTTGTGAGGAATGGGCTAAAAACATGTAGAGGACTAATTGCACGGCATATAGTAAGCGCTCACTACATGTTATCATTAGCTGGGTGTTACTGTAACAAACACAGAGCACTACGCACGGTGGTCCAGAGAAGGAAGCACACTTCAGAGGGAGTCAAAGAAGTCCAGAGAGCTCAGGGTGGGTCTTAAAGGAGTTTATCAGAATAACAAGGGATGGAAAAGTGTATCTTAGGTGTGTGCAAAAGTAGAAGCGTTCAAAACAGCATACATATTTCAGAAATCTTCAAAGGACTTTCAGTTAAAAATGCAGGGTAGGGTTTGCAGTGACGGAGAAGCAGGAAATGTGGCTGGAGAAGGTGGGCTGTGGCTCTGTCACTCTGGGCCAGCCCTGTGCTACGTGCTTCATGTATGAAGTTCATTTCATTCTCACCAACAAGACACTGAGAACCCTCCGGCCTCATCTAGTATCTCTGTTCCTTTGTCCCCTCTGTCCAGAGTGGTGCTTTGTTTTTAAGTCACCATGAATGCTCCTCCTGGGTCTGGACACCACCTACTCTCTCCTTCTGGACCCTTCTTCCCTCAGATATCCATCTGACCAACTCCTTCACCTCCTTCAAGTATTTGACCTTCGCAGTGAGACCCCCTCACTGACCTCTTATTTAATACCACAAGCTCTCCTGACTTTCTTATTTCCTCCTTCACACAAAGGACTTTCCTCTTCTAAGATATAATGTAATTTTCGCATGTACTATGTTTATTGTGCTACCTCTATTAGACTAGAAGTTACCTGAGTCTATTATACCTAATAAAGTTAAATTTAATATTTCATTTTAATCAAAGGAAGGAAAGAAGGAAGGAAGGAAGGAAGAAGGAAATTACACTCATAGCAAACTGAACTTATAGTCTCGCTCTGAGACTCTTCTTAGGAGACATGTCACAGGACTGACTCTAAGAGTTTCTATTGGGGTGGGGTCCAAGAGGGGTCATATTTAAACTGAATTCATGAAAGAGAAGTAATGCTATAGCAAGTCTCCAAGACAAAAACAGCTTATAGAACCAAAATTTTAAACCCATCCCACTGGATTGCCCACTGAAATATCTCAAGTACCAAAAATATTATCCAGCACACATGGTCTTAAGATCTGTATGAATGAATAGCAGGTACTGAGGTTAAACACATGTCTGTCTGACTCCAGAGTTTACTCCCAATTTCTACGCTATACTATCTTTTATTATCGACAAGACAGAAAATGTTGAGAAAAATCTGTTGCCACCAATAAGGTAGTTAAGTTATATTAATGTTTACTTTCAATTTTAATATGAGAGTTTTTTTTCTGTAGCTTGCCCTGAAAGATTGTCTGAGATTGTCTTCCAGGAATTGTAAATTTTAATGATAACAAAATATTTTTGAAACTTTGTATCAAAGAGCTCAATTTGGAGTCAGACAGACAGACTGCAAGCCAGGCTCCATCACACACCAAAAATAGGAACCTGGGCAAGTTGCTTCAGTTCTCTGTGCCCTACTTTCCTCTCTCGAAATACAGGAATAATAATACCAACTTCACAAGCTTGTTGCATCTAATTTAATTATACAGTAATGGCTAGAGAGCACTTAGCACACTGTCTGGGTTACAGAAAACATTCAATAAATGGCAGAAAGTGTTATTATTATGATATCATTAAGCTATTAAGTTCAGGGAGTATTTGCCAGGCACCAAATTCTAAGAGCTTCTTGGAAGAAGAGAAGAAGTGTTTACAGGCCACCGGGAGGGCAATGAGCAGCTAGAGCAGAAGGCGAATGTCAAGAGATGAGGTTCAAGGAGATAAGAGCCAGGAAATGCGGCCACAACAGGGAATTCACGTTTAATTTTAAGTGCAAAAAGCTAGTGAAATGGTTGAAGCGGGGGAGCGAAAATGGGGAAACGTCCCAGGGAGAGGGGCTAAGAGCTAGGTTGTAGCATCATTGTGATGGAGGTAAGTAGAGCCACTTTATTTTGGAGGCAGAATCCACTGCACTTACTGATTGGCCTAAAAGACAAGAGGGAGGTGGGAAGCCAACGAAAAGTCCAAGCGTTTGGCTTGGGCAACGACATGGGAAAGCCCAAGAGAGAAAGGGGCAGAAAGAGTGAGGTGGTGAGCTGCGCTGCTGTACTGCTGTAGCATCTGGTATTGTCCAGGGGAGAGGGTCGTAATTCTTAAATCTGAACACAAGGCTCTGAAAGGCTGTAAAAATATAACTTACCCAAAAAACAAGTCATTTGTTCTAGAAGTGAATGTGTTGGACTTTTTTGTAAAGCTTCGTTTAAAGCAACGAGGAAGAAAGCTCCATGTTTGCTTTATTTATATTCTAGAAGCATTGTCTAAGGAAAGCATAAATAACCTACTCCACTCTCTACCTGGTTATCTGAGTGATTTTCTAAAATGAAATCCTGATAACATTATACCAAAGCTTAAGTCTCTTTTGCCTGCAACATAAAGCCCAAACTTGTGTATGTATCAAAAGAGACCCTGCATGAGCTCTCCAACCTCATCACCGGCCCTGCTTATGCTCCTCCCTCTGCCCTAAATGTCCTGTCCTCAATTTGCCTGTCTTGAAAGCTCCTCTTCATGGAAAACTCTGATCCATGCCAGTGCCCCTGTGAAGGCTTCTCTGACCCTTACGAAGAAATAACTACCCCCACTTTTGCCCCTTTAAGGTGCTCTTACCCTATTTGTATAGCAGCATCTATGCACAGAATGGCATTGATTTACATGGTTATGGCCAACCATGGTGTGAACTTCACAAGAGCAAAGACTGCATCCTACACCATCTAACACATTAGCCAATACCTTAGGGCCTCCGTAAATATTGCACTGAACAACTTTTACCTAAATGTAAAATAGTATGTAAAGAACTTTGTATTTTAAAAGATCAAAAGAATTGGAAAACCGGGATAGTGCCTGGAAATGACTTTACGTTTTCCAGCATTTGGCAGGTCTCAGCCTGATTCTTTTCACGTATATAAAAACAGCAGATACAATGCACAAAGGTGTATGTGCCCCCAGATGCACTCCCTGGGTGGGGAGAGATGGAAAAGGGATAGGAAAATGTCTATCTACCCTGATTTTAAGGATATTGCTAAATTCAGAGATGATCCTTACAGCGTCACTTTTAAAGCAAAGAGTTTATCTGGCTTTTTCTGTATCACTTTGTGTTCTTTAAATCTTGCATAAGCATGGGTTAATCTGCAGTGTGTGAGGCTGAGGGGGGATAAAAGAGGCATAAGAAATACTCCTTACCTTCATGCATTTACAAACCTCTTTATGTTACACAGTTCGTCTTAAAGTCTTAAAAAAGAAAAAGAAAAAAAACATTCTGAGGCTCGCTTACTTTCCTCTAAGAGATGGGATTTAAAATATTTAACTAGAAGGCAGTTATTCACATGAAAGTCAATCCTCAAAATAAACTTCTGTTTATATGTGGCTAGTTAAACAAACACTTTTGAAAAAAGAAGAAGTATAACCAAAAAATGATTAATTTGCAACAGGCCTGGAAAATATAATCATATTATCAAAGTGTGGTTCAGAGAAAAACATGTGTGGCTCCAAAAATCTCAAAATACTGTGTACATTAAGAGAATAAACAGGGAATCTTTCTTTAAAATCATAGTATTTATTGTTATGTTCAATGTTAATGCTCAAGTAGAGTAACTATTTGAAGTTAGTAACAGACACAAGAAAGTTATGACCTGAAAGTTATAATTAAGAGCCTGTTAAAATTAAGTATGACATCTTAATTTTACTTTGTTCACAATCTCCCCAGGATAAGGGATAAACTCTCTCCTCCCTCGAAAAAGAGCTTAGAAATGTTTATATTTAACTGATATTTAGTCATATACTCTGGTAGATATTAGCTCAGTAATATCTAACACTTATGAAAAATCAGTAAAGCCTTGTAGACTTAAACATGTATCAATAACTCAATTTGCAGATGTTAAAAACAAAAAGTTAGAGGTGCCTGGGTGGCTCTGCTGGTTATGTGACTGACCCTTGATTTTGACTCAGGTTATGATCTCATGGTTCATGGGATTAAGTCCCAGTCGGGCTCTGCGCTAATAGCGTTGAACCTGCTTGGAATTCTCTCTCTCCCCCTCTCTCTCTCCATCTCAAAATAAATAAATAAAACTTTTAAAGAGGTTAAATAAATTTGGCTTTGAAAAAATTATTTGAATAAGATAAACTTTGGGTTGAAAAACCACTTGTCTAGCTGGCTTTCTAAAATGGTCTGTAGCCCAATGTCTCA